TTTTATCTACGTGATGTTTCTACTTTCTCCATGACCCAGTCTGTTCTCAGGGTTCAGACAGAATGATTATTATTTGTTTCATGGAGCTTTACTTTTGAGCTCACACCTGCATGCATGCAGTCGCAGTGTGAGATATTTATTATCAGTCACAAGTTCATGACTGCTGATTTTATCGTTATTAATCGGTTCATCCTGAGGAGCTGTTGGTCTGCTCTGTTGATCGTTACATTGTTACAATTTGTATCCTCCGTTGTTCCTATTCACAGCAGCAGGTCTGCTATCTCAGCCTTTTTTTCCTCACCAGAGATCTTTTTCTCCAGTGCGCTCCTGCACATGTAGCACGCAATTACGCAACGCGTAATTATGCACACAGAAGGCTGAGTGATGAAATGTTTTTTTGTGCAAGCAGGTGTTTCATGTTGTGTCTGAATGGACCCAGTGAGGCATAGACTACATCCTGCTTCGCCTTTAACCCACTAACAATAGCCTTAAAGGGCGAAGCCTATACAAAATAGAACGTTGGTTACGTACTGTAACCCCAGATTCTATGAGTATAGGCGCAGCCCTTTAAGCTCTGGGCCTCACTGGTTCCTAAATGGCTGAAGAAAAAAAGCTATTTGGGAGCCAATTACCCGGTCTCACCATAATTTATATGGACCGGGGGTGAGGCCCACACAGCAGGTGGGTGTGGACTAAAGTTTTCAGTACTGCGCTGCACGCAAAGGGATGAACCCACTAGCGATAGCCTTAAAGGGCTGCGCATATACTCATAGAATCTGGGGTTACAGTACGTAACCAACGGTTTTACATCTATCCTATAAAGCTCTCAACAACCTAGCTCCATATTATAGATCTTTGTTTTTTGGTGTTTTTTACTTTCGGCTGCTCCCTTCTCCAGGGATCATCACAGCGAACTAAGTCGCACAAAGATTTGGCAATCATTTTTATGCCGGATGTCCTTCCTGATGCAACCACAGACCACCGAGCTACCACAGCCCTCTGTGTGGAGCTGCTATCTAGGGCGCATGGGGGAGCAGATGGTGGGGGTTAAGGGCCTTGCTCAAGGGCCCAGAGTGGGGTAAATGAGGGTGGAGGCAGGTGTGGGTGCTTCACCCATCCCACCCACATTTTGATGTTGTCTGTTCAGTGCCCTGAGATGACCTCTGTTGTGAATTGGCACAATATAAATAAACTGGATTGAACTGAAATTGAAATGTCGTTATCGGGAGTTGAACCGGCAATCTTACAGGCCTACATTTTCTAGCCTCTGTGCCACCACCAACCCCTTACAGATCTTATTGTTCCATATTTTCCTAACAGAGCACTTTGTTCTCAGAGTGCAGATTTACTTGTGGTTCCTAGAGTTTTCAAAAACAGAATGGGAGGAAGATCTTTCAGTTATCAGGCTCCTCTCTTGTGGAACCAACTTCCAGTTTCTGTCCATGAGGCTGACACATTGTCCAGTTTTAAGACTAGGCTTAAGACTTTCCTTTTTAATAAATTCTAAAATTAGGATCAGCATGGGTTTCCTGAGCTATCCCTTAGTTATCCTACTTAGGAGGACAAACTGACTTCATTTCCACAAATAGTTACAAATGAATATAGTTTGTATTAGTAATTAGCCTATTTCTATCTTAACATGTGTTGTTGCCTTTTTTTTTTTTTTTTTTTGTATTATTTTGTCTTTCCTCCTAGACAGGGACCTGTTTGCCTCCATTCTGGACCTGTAATTCTGTGTTCGTTTCTCCTTCCTGTCCTCTCAAACCAGTCGGTCGAAGCAGATGGCGGCTCGTCCTGAGCCTGGTTCTGCTGGAGGTTTCTTCCTGTTATAAGGGAGGTTTTCCTTTCGACTGTCTCCTTTGTTTGCTCAGGATGGTGCGACAATGTGAAGATTCAACAGATAAGAGAACTTTACGAATTGGCTTTTTATGTATGTGAATGTTTTTGTACAGTGTAGTGAGATAACTTCTGTTGTGGTTTGGCGCTGTAGAAATACACTGAACAGAATCTGTACTGGTTTTACTTTCACTGTTCTGTATGGGTTTACACCTAGGTGCTGACTTGTACTACAGGTTTGTATATGTTTTACACCTTGCATTTAATTATGTATTTATTTATGTAATTTTGTCACATTCCACCCGGCATAATGTAGTTTTTTACAAAAATGTATAATCTGTGGAAGTTAAACTGACACTGGGGGTGTTGCAGATGGTGGGTTGCCTCTAGTGATCTGCTGGTTTGCAGACCCTCCTTTTTTTCTTGAAAACAAACTCCAGCTGCTGTAAAAAGACACGGAATGATAAGTTTTTCCTAAAGTCATTAGTTTGTTTTTCTTGGTGGCTCTTCTGTTCTCTCAGGTTCCTCTTAGTTTTTAGAACAATTTCACAGAAAACAGTCGGATTGCTCCTTTAAGAGCTCCACACAGCCTGCACGTAGCTCACGAGCGCAGCGCGTGGTGTGTCAGTGGAGGGGGAGGGGCGCACACACACAAACACACACAAAATATGCGCGCGCGCTGGAGTTCCCCCGCCCGGGCTGTTCTTGGTTTCTGTCTGACCCAGACCGGTCCAGCTGTAGGACTTGGGTCCTGCAGTTCTGCTGCAAAACACCGGCTGCCGGGTCAGAAGTGTACTGATCCTCCTCACATCAGAACCAGCAGGCTCAGTAAACAACTCTGCACGGCCGAGCTCCACCAATCAGCGGCCAGATCCAGGTCACGTGACTCAGCTTGTTTACTCCATGCAGGAGCGGCGCCGCAGGGGCTGCTGGGAAATCCCGGAGCGGATCAGCGATCTGCTGCTGACACGTTCTGTCTGTGGAAACCTCTAACTTAAGCGTCAGCTCAGGCCGCAGTGCATCATGGTCCATGTAGTTTTCTTTTATGCATCGTGTAAGGAGTGGAGACTCAAACGAACATCTGTCCTCAGGTATGAAGGATAAGTGAAAGTTTTGGGTCTTCACTCAGATCACTTTCAGAATTGGTTTGGACCTCCTTTATCTGGACATCTTTATCTGCCCCCAGGTCAGGCTGGTCCACAAAGGTGAACAGGTCTTTATCTGTCCCCAGGTCCAGGCTGGTCCACAGAGGTTAACGGGTCTTTATCTGTCCCCAGATCCAGGCTGGTCCACAGAGGTTAACGGATCTTTATCTGTCCCCAGGTCCAGGCTGGTCCACAGAGGTGAACGGATCTTTATCTGCCCCCAGGTCCAGGCTGGTCCACAGAGGTGAACGGGTCTTTATCTGCCCCCAGGTCCAGGCTGGTCCACACAGGTGAGTGGGTCTTATCTGTTCCCTGGTCCACAGAGGTGAGCGGGTCTTTTGTCTTTCCCCAGGTCCAGGCTGGTCCACAAATGTGAGCAGATCTTAAAATGTCCCCTGGTACACAGAGGTGAACAGTTCTTTATTTATCTGTCCCTAGGTCCAGGCTAGTCCATAGAGGTGAGCGAGTCTTTAACAGGCCACAGTCTGTGAGGATTCAAAACTTCTCCTCCTCCACCATAATCCTCAGCACTGGCTCCCATCAGGGCTGTGTGCTGAGTCCTCTACTGTTCACTCTGCTCAAGTGCACCTACCCATCCAGGCTGTCACATTGTAAAGTTTGCAGATGATACAGTGGTAGATGGATGCATCACAAACAATGATGAGTCCAGCTACAGGCAGGAGGTGGAACACCTGGAGAGCTGGTGCAGGAAGAAAACCTTCACATCAATGTGAGGAAGATGAAGGAGATGACTGTGAATTTCAGAAGGAACAACACCCTCCCCGACCCCCTGAACATAGGAGGATCTGCGGTGGAAGTGGTCTCCAGCTACAAGTACTTGGGTGTTCACCTGAATGACAACCTCAGCTGGGGCAACAACACCACCAGCCTGATCAAGAAAGCTCATCAGGGACTCTACTTCCTCAGGCGGCTGAGACGAGCTGGTCTGGGAAGCTCAGTCCTCACCTCCTTCTACAGGTGTGCAGTGGAGAGCATCCTGTGCTCCAGCATCAACGTGTGGCATGGAGGCTGCACAGCTGCAGAAAGAAAAGCTTTGCAGAGAGTGGTGAAGGCTGCACAGAAGTCTGTTGGAGTCAGCCTCCCCACCATCACAGACATCTACACCTCCAGATGCAGGAAGAGGGCCACCTGCATCATGAAGGACCCCAGCACACACACTTTTTGCCCTGCTCCCCTCAGGAAGGAGGTTGAGGAGCATTAAGTGTAGAACCACTACACTGAAGAACAGCTTCTACCCAGAGGCTGTTAGACTCATGAATATGTAACCAGAATAATCAATGTAATGACACTGGAGATTTGTAACTTTATCTGTACTGCTGATTTCTTACCTATAAGCTGTTGTATTCATACCTACATGTATCTGCTCACAACAGACTCATGTTCAGGCTGCTGTTTAATACACCTTATTAGATTATTTTATTACTGTTTATCCTGATGCATGCTCAATTATTACTGTATATTACTGTTTAGTTTCTTTCTTAGATCCTTAATACTGTTTCTTTTTCTATTTTATATTTTTGCTATTTTTGGGTGTAACTGGGACCTTGAGTACACAATTTTGTTCCACCTCATGTACCACATGTGACGTGAATGACAATTAAGAACCTTGAACTTTTGTCTGTCCCCAGGTCCAGGCTGGTCCACAGAGGTGAGCGGGTCTTTCCAGTTGTAGGTCCCAAACTGCAGAAGAAGATGCCTGTAACTAACCTGTTGTTGTTGTTAAATGTTTTTGCTGGAGTCGTTTTTCTCTCTCTCATGGTGGGACCTTGGGGCTCTGTGTACACAGTTTCCTTCCACCACATGTACCACATGTCACCACATGTACCACATGTGGTACGAATGACAAATAAAGAAACTTTGACTTTGTGACGTTTTTCTGCTTCTGGATCAGAACCGATTGGAATCTGGATCCAGTCCTGGTCTTGTTGGAGACTCCTCCCTGTCCACACCTCCCTCACGCACTCACACACACACCCCCACACGCTCAGAGTCAGTTAGTTGGACTCATTCAGTGGCTGCAGACTCTTCTCTCCGAGCTGCAGTTTGTTTATTTGTTTGTTTGTTTGCTTGGTTGTTGGACTGTGCAGGTACGTGGATGCAGCTGCTGCTTGTTGCGTGTGTGTTGTGCTCAGACTGCGCGTGAGTCCAGGAAATACTCTTTCATTAAATGTGTTTGTTGCTCGGCTCAGGGCAGCGTGAAGATCAAGTGATGATGATGATGGTCGCTGCATGTTTAAAGCTGCTTGCTGGTTTTCCTGCATGGCAGGCTCTTATTGTGGAGGGCTGCAGGGCTGTGATTGGCAGACAGGAGGAGGTGTGTGCCTACAACTGAACTGGTTTATTTTTGGACAGAAACACAGTTTTCTTTGTTTTGATGACAGGAATCGTGTTTGCAGCACATCTAGGGTTTTTTATATTTCATATTCTGCAGCTCATTTTCAGATTTGTGTTAAAAATCCACTGGTTAGATGAATTTCTAAAGTTTTAATGTGGAGCTTGTTTTTTGGACATTTTCCTCTCTTTGATAGTTTGATACATTCAGATTATTTCGATAGATTTCAGACAGGAAGTGTTTGTGGTGGGACAGGAAAGACCAAGAAATGATCTGCTGAACAACTTCTGAGCTCAGACAACAGAAATGCTCATCTGGTTTATTCAAACCTGCTTTAAAAGTTCAGAAGTTAGTCAAAAGGAGAACAAAATAAATGTATTATTAAACCTAAATCTCATGTGGGAGTGAATCTGGTTCTCGTTTCTGACTGAGTTCAGTGGATCTGTTCTCAGTCAGAGGTCAATGTCAGCTTCCTCTCCTGCAGACATGATACCGAAGACTCGTCTGGGGAAACGCTCGCCTTTTGGGTCACTGGTGAGCGAGACAGGAAAGACCAGCATCCCCATGGCAAAAGAGGCGGGGCAGCTGGGCATCAGCAGGGTGAAAGGTCATGCAGATCTGAAGGTGAGCGAACACTTCTGTTACATGTCAAATCTTCTTTCAGCATCTTGACGTAAAACACAACTTTGACCATCCCAGAGTTTCATGTGTGAAACTTTTCAGTTCTGATGTTTCCTTTTTTTATTTGGTGATTATACTTCCCTCCCATCAAGGAAGTCCACCATGTCTAGAAGAGTAAAGATGTATATATTATATTATTGTTCTTTTCCATTCCATTTCAGCAGCAGTTGCTGATCACAGTAAAATTATGACAAAGTTGGTTGAAGTCTATCTCATCTTGTCTAACTGCATCATCGCTCTGATCCACAATGAAAGCAAAGGGTTTAACACTGAAGGTCCAGCTGAGGGTCAGCAGAGCTCCATTAAAGAGCAGTCAGGGGGAGGAAACTAGAAGCTCCTTGAATATTTTCAAGAGGGTGAGGAAAACTGACAGCCAGAAGTTGTAGCTTTAACAGCTTCCAGCTATACACAAGAGAGCTGCTTTACATTCATCATGTGTGGGATTTAGTTCTGGTCTAAATCTGGACAGCTTTGCTTTTGACTAATGTAGCCAAAGTACTCTTCTGAACTGACTGACGACTTCTGTTGTGACATGGTGATATATAAATAAACTGAACTGAACAAACTGAATTATATTATGTGAGCAGGGAAGAAAGTACCATTTCATCCACGAGTTCAAGTGGCAATAAAAAACACTTTTCTCCAGTACACCAATGGGTTGGTCTTTCAGAGCCATAAATTCAGTCCCCTGTTCTGTAATCTTAGTTGTCTTATTGCTGCCTCTTGAGAACTCCTCTTTAAGGTTTTCTCATGTGTTTCTTAGTTGTGTTTGCATTCAGAACCAACTACACGTAGGTGAACTCAGCTGAATGTTTGTAAGGGTTTAGGTGTTGACTTGATGGTACTGAAAGGGTGGATGCTCCCTCTGTTTGGGGGATGAGTTATTGCCACAAGTGGAGGTCAAGCATCTGGGAGCCTTGTTCATGAGGAGCAGTGATGGTTTGATGGCTTGTGGCCACATAAGTTCTGTCGTGGTAAAGAAGAAATGGAGCACAAACAGTTGAGATGAGCTTCTTTTTTAGGGTGGTTCGGCTCAGCCTTAGAGATAAGGGAGGAGTTCCATCATCCGGGGGGTCGGAGTAGAAAGGAGGATGGATGCCTTTCTTTTGGGGGTTTTCCATGCAAGACCCCACCCCAAAGCAGACCCACAACTCACCGGAATTATTATGTATCATCTCTGGCCTCCAAACACCCTGGGATGCCCCAGGAAGAGCAGGAGAGAGTTTCTGGGGAGAAGGTCGTCTGAGTTTCTCTCCTGGACCTGTCGCCTCCATGACCCAACCACTGTTCGGCAGTAGAAGATGTATGGGTTGATGGATGAGTGAATGTACTGTAGCTCTATCGCACCACCACGAGAAATACCTGAAATACAAATATTGCAAGTAGATACTGAAGTGTTTTCTTTTACATTTGTAAAAAACAACAAACCACAAGCATGTTGGCTCACATCACATCATCTGCCATACTACAGCTGCAGACAGTCAGACATGTTGCAGCACGGTTGATGCAAAACTATACACACTCAGTAAGCTATTGGGAACGGAGCGTAGCAGCTGCTCAGATACTAATTAGGGAAAAATACCTTGATTGGTATTCCCATTCAATACTTAGGAATGATTGTACATTTATTATATTTATTTTCATGTTAGCAGCTCTGTCAGGTCTTCCAGGCATTTATTGAAGTGAACAGGACAAGGTAACATTTCTACTGGGACAGAAACGCCTCACGTGTAATTTACGTGCCTGCTTGGAAACGAGAGAAAGTCCCAGAAAGATGTTTTTTGTTGACAATGAGGAAACTGATGGGAAATGACTGAGAGCTGTCTCAGCCTATCACAGATGTCCTGTTATAATTTCAGTATGGAGGAGGTGAGGCTTCAGGTGTGCTCATTCAGCTTGACGCCTCCGATCAGCCTCCGCCTTACATTACGTCTTTGCTGCCAGCTTCTCGGGCCTTTGACAGATCATCCTGCATCAACGTTCCCAAAAGGTTAGGCTCCTCCCACCGCTGTGTCTTATTAATTGTTTAATGATAAACACGCTTACCCTCATTATTGGGATTCTGCAGTCAGAGAAACCGTCCAGAGGTGGACATGGACGAATTGATGGCAGCCATGGTGCTCAGCAGCCTGTCCTGCAGCCCACTGCCACCGCCACAGAGCTCCGCCCACCGAGAGGCTGCAGGTATGAACAGAAATAGAATAAACAATGACAACCGTAGTCCTACTGAGAAGGAAACTATGTGAAAACTAAGTTTAGCTTAAATTTCAAGAAACTCTGATTAGATTAATCCTAAATTAAGTTAAACTTTTAATTTATTCACGAGTTTAATAAAGCTTGGTGTAAATTAAGTCTGTATTCAGTGAAGACTCTGAGTAAGTTTCCTCTGAGTTTAGTCAAACTGACATGAAGCAGAAAAGATTGCCTGATTTAATGTCAGTGAGAAAAACGATTGTTGTTTTACATACAGTACATGGAAACATCTGGTTTCAACTGTTGGTAGACCTCGGACTACAACCAAGAAGTTGAAGTTGGATTGAAACCAGCTTCCTTTTTGTCTGCTTCCAAAACAATTATTGAGCCCCGCCCACTTTTCAAAATCAAATGAATGGTAAAATACCCTCGGAAAACAATCTCACCTCAGATATGCTGTATATTCTTTTTAGCTTGCCATATCTCCTCCATAAAATCCTCTAGAAACATCCAGCTGAACCTGTGGTACCATCAGAACTTTCTGCTGCTCACGGGTCAAGAAGTTCTTTACAACTTGTTTTTTTACAGAGACTATTTGCCTGAGGCTTTCTTTTTATTCTGTGTTTCTGCCTAATGCACTGCTGAGTACTGCCCCTTAGTTTAGTTTCCCAAAATGTTGGAAATCGGTGTTGGTGCCCTTCAACATTTCAGAATATTTCTTGCTTTTGTGTTCTTTCAGCTCCGTCCATGGACTGTGGCGGGGCCTTTGAGTTCTCCGACAGCGGCAGCAGTGGCTACTGGAGTGTCGGCCACGCCCCTGAAAGCCCCGCCTCCTCTTCCCCGGTCGCAGAGCCTGACAGTGGTACAGCTACACCCCCTGATGAGGGCTTGGACATGGAGCTGGATCAGGTTCTGTTTGAGGACCCAGCGCCGCGAAAACGCAGGGTGAACAGTGTTATACTGTATGTTGGTCACTAAATGACCAAACGAGCTGTCAGTTAGTGACTGTGCGTTTCCTTCAAAAGAACTCCCTGAAGATGGCATACAGGTGTTTGTGGCCAAGCTGCGAGAAGGTGCTAACATCCGTGGTGGGAATCAAACGTCACATCAAGACAACTCACCTGTGGTAAGCCTCACCTGGTGGACAGAGAGCCACTTCCTGAACTCTGCTGAATCGTACTAAAGCCCATAATGTTACAAACTTCTTTTAGTAAGCGTTGGTGTCAATGTAACTATATAAAGTGCATTTAAACAACAGACGCTGACTAAAGAGCTTTACATTTCAGTCAAACAAAACGTAAAACAATAAAAGCCTCCACCCTCATTTGTCTCACTTTGGGCCCTTGAGCAAAGCCCTTAACTCCCACCATCTGGTCCCTGGGGAGCCCTAGATGGCAGCTCTGTGCTCCACACAGAGGGTTGTGGTAGCTCAGTGGTCTGTAGTTGCGTCAGGAAGGACATCCGGTGTAAAAACAATTGCTAAATCTTGATTCAAGTTAGTTTGCTTTGGCGACCCCTGAAGAAGGGAGCAGCTGAAAAATAAATTTATTTATATAGATCGGAAGAGCA